TAGAGAGTAGTGGCTGCTGCTTAGGAAATCGTAGCAGCTCCATAGCGAATTCTCCTCGTAAACATGGCGGAATGCGCGTATTGTCATGGCGGAATGCCCTTAGCGCACGCCGAATTCCCGAAACCGTAGGCTTTATCGTACACGACAACCACACTTGACGCGCGTTTGCGACGATCGCTGTTGCGGATAACCGGTAGCGGAGGACGCATTGCGTGCGGCTGGCGCGGAACTGCATTCGCGGGTACACACTTCGTGCGATAGAAACGACGACTTGGCGTTCGTCAGCGGCTGACAAACTGGTGCGCGTCTGCGGTAGCATTTTCCTGTCCGCGCGTGCTGCATCTTCGTGGTCCTCTCTCCCCCTGCTTTTCTCCCTCTGCCTTTCTCCGTAAACCTTGCCTTTCTCCCATTGCGTCGTGCAATGATAGCACACGGCTATCCAAGTCCTTAAGCCACACCAAAGGATGATGCCAAGTCCGCTCTGACTTCACCCATGTTTTCTTGTGATGCCCCCCATACACTCTAGCCGACACACGGTAGCAGCCGGAGTTGCCGAACTCCATCAGCTGGAGGGTTGCGCATGCCGACGAACTCCAAGTATCCCAGAAAACTACACTCCATATATGCAGAAATGTCCACTTCAAGTATGCAGTGCACACCAAGTATGCAGTCATGTTCACTCCCATGCATGTAGAAATACCTTCTCCATGTATCTTCTCCGTTCTTCCCTCACAGTAGTGCCGCTCATCAGCAGCAACCAGTCACACGATGTTGTTGTATGAGAGGACGTGAGATGGCGACCAGTTGCATCCTTTCGTCCTGCTCCCCCTGCCCATTGGCAACCGTTGGTGAGTAGGTCTTCCCCTTATGCTACCTGACTGCATGTACCACTCCTGTGCCACCAGATACACTCCACACCCCACCCCCCCCCACCCATGTGCTTGTAGTCATCCGCGTACACAGCTACAAGCACATGAGTGAGTGTGGAGTTAGGTGATGCCATGTTGTGCAACACAACTCGAGGTGGCCGCACAGGTGAGTACAACTCCACAATCCTTGATGTGGTGATCATCAGCAGATGGTACGCCCGTTGCTGCACATCCCAAATTGTTTTCATCATCATTGTCTTCAACCTCCTCTGGTACAATCACTCTTGCTGCAGGTAAGTCATCTGCTGCAGCATCTCCGCTTCCTTGGGTTGCATCAACTTCATCAGCTCCAGGTTACTCATGTTCCACAAGGTCTGCTCCATCTCCTCCCAAATTCATCGCAGACCTTTTTCTTTCTCCCCCTGAAGTCCACACCACACTGTGGGGTAAGACTTCATCTGAGGTATCATCATGTGCCGGCTACCGCACGATGCAGGCCTTGTGTGCCATGCGGTACTGAACAGATGCGTGTGCAGAACGCGCGCTCAAGTGCACTCCAGGTATGCGGGAAAGCGCGCTCCCGTTTGTATCCAAGTGCACTCCAGGTGTGCGGAAAGGTGAATTCCCTTCACGATCATCCCGGGGTTGACCAGGATCATGGGCTGATGGAAGTGCAGGCTCATACTCCACCATGAGCACTCCATCAACGGCCTTGCCAAGTCCAATCCGCACACTCTTGTTTCCATCAGACACGGTAATTTCGGTATCTCCATCAGCAACCGTATTGATGTGAGCCCCTTTCTTCAGCAGCTGAGAATAGGAGAGCAGGTTGCTCTTCAGGCCAGGTACGTAGAGGACATCAGTGTAGCGAACTATTGCCGTTGCTTTGATCGTTCCCATCATCTTGCTGTGCAGTTGGCTCCCATCAGCAAGCTCCACATAAATAGGTTCGTCCAGCTCCTTTAACTCTTCAAATCAGCGCTTGTCTGAAGTCATGTGCTGGCTGCATCCGCTGTCCAGCAACCACGTTGACGCTTTAGCTGGTGGTAAGGTAGATTGTGACGATCGCACCGCCGCTATGCATGTGACGGTGCATTTGATGTTTCCTTCACTTGCCCCTTGTTGTTTTGACACATTGTTGTCACGCTTGGGGCTGCAACTCCTTCGTGGAGAGAACGAACGGTTGTTGTTGGTGTGCAGTTTTGTCCTCCCGCAGGTATGCGCTTTCCACCCTGGTGGTGACCAGCCAGGCGGTGCCTTGGTACACTTAAAGAAGGGTTGGCCTGGCTCCTTGCAGTACCAACACACGAGATATGAGCGACTTGCATCTCCATCCTTGCCATGTGTTTTCTCCCCAATGGACCCCTCCTTCCCGGTATTTCTCTTAGCAGTTGGAGAAGGTGAGTGGTCTCCACGTGCTTGTCCAACCATGCGAGGTGGACGCCGATCACGGTTATCTTTCGTGATGAGGTCGTGATATCTCTGCTCCTGAATCATCATCCGCTGCAGCGTATAGCTGTCCGTTATGCTGTGTAGCATTGCCGAGTGCCTCATCTCCTCCCATTGTGCCGGCAGCCCGGTGAGCAGATTTAAGGTGAATGTGTCCTCATCCACCATCTTCCCCACTAGAGCTAACTTGTCCCGAATTGCTGTTGCGCGGTTGACGTACTCCTCCACCTTTTCCACGTTCCCCATTTTCAGGTTGTCCAGCTGCTTCATGAGAGAGACCTTCGCCACCGAATCTTTGGCCTGGTAAGCATCCATTAAGTACCCCCATGCTTCATATGCCGGGCTATAGGATTATTGGAACATGTCCAGCTGTAGCTGAATCTTGGCGCTCACGCTGTGCAGTAGGACCCAAAAAGCGAGCGCCGCACGCTGTGAGTAATCCGCCTGTAGCATTTCCAACCGCTCCATAGCGTCATCGATGTCACCATTTCCCACGGTAACCGGATACTGCACAGTCACAAAGAACTCCCACAGACTCGTGACGCGAGCGTTCATACAAAACCTTAGTGCCCACTCTCGGAAGTTCGAGCCATCAAACGGAGTATTGGTGGAAGCTTTGTCCACCGTTGCTCCCATCATTTTGCGTGACAGCCGTTCCTTGTCTTCTTCCGTGTATTCACGTGGAGCGGGGTCGAAGAGAGTAGGCACAGTTGACGGTCGAGGTAGCTGTACCGTGCGCTGCATGTCTCCATTCTGTCCACCAAGTTGACGTTCCAGTACTTCCACTTGATCCCGTCGCATGACACCGCTTGACTGCATTCCGTATCCCATCCGCGCCATGCTATCCACATAGTGTGCGCCTATCGGTAGACGTGGTGCACGCGGAGGTATGTCATAGCCGCCATGAAGGTGAGACCTGGCCGAGGAACTCCAATGGGATGGGAGTTAATCGCAAGTCGTCGTAGTGGGGGAGCACCAATAGTGTAGGAGGCAAAACCCACACCTTCCACGCCCACTTGACCATTTCCATCACCGTGCTGCCCAATCTGTCCACTTCTCATTCCACCATGCACTACATTACTATACTCATCATTCCTCTCCCGTGCTTCCCTTTGCATGGATGATTGGGGTGCGGGATTGGCGCTCTCCTCTTCTTGGACGGATGCATCCCTCCCTTGGGATGACTCTCCTCCTTGAAATATGCCCATTTCCCCTTCACCATCAATTCCTGCATGAACATTTGATGCACGGCTTTGGTTAGTACGCGGAGCGCTTGAATGAGATTGTCCATGGGTGGACGGATTGCTGAACTTATGAGAGAGTTTTGCTCTTGGCTGGATTGTCATTCCAAACTTGTCCTTTAACGAAGCTTGGAGAATTGGTGATGCCCTTGCAATCATGCTTTCCAGGTGCTCATGCTGAGCCATGATGTCTTCTTCAAAAGCCGCACATCCAGGATCCACTTCGCCATCGAAGTGCGCCATGATCTTGACAAAACCATCCACCAAGTGTGCGGTAAACGCGCGGTTGTAACCAACAGCGAACACCAGGCGTACGAAAGCATAGACCGGGCGTGCGGTACTCTGACTGTATGCAGGTACCTAAAAACGTGGACCAAAACCAATCTGAGGGCATGCCCCAGGTCCTATGTACGGGAAAATACGGTACTCTGAGAGCTTAGAACAACGCACACATTGGTGCAGGCCCCCAGAAGTCAGAGAAATTTCTCTGATTTGCATGAAAAACTCTGAGAATTCAAAAAAAAATGTGAGCTCTGTTAAAATCAGAGATTTTTGGGCCCCAACTCTGTAATTTTCAGAGAAATTTTAAAGCTAACTCTGACGTTTCAGAGTTTTTTGGGAGTGTACTCCAGGGCCTCAGAAGTCAGCGAAAAAAGGCTGATTTAGGTAATAAGGGCTGAGATTTCAGATCTGTTTTAGAAGTGAGGCTGATTTTCCAGCAATTTGTTGAAGAAAAACAGGAAAAAATATTGGATTTGTAGTGTAAAATGGCATAAAATGACTGATTTGTCTGATTTTTCAGCCTAGGCCAAAACGAATCTGAGGCCCTGGTGTACTCTGATCACTCAGAGCACAAACGCGTACCGATTCCGTTTTCTGCTTGTGTTCTTGACTGATGATTCGGTTCGGACTTCACGGGTCACAGCAGATTCGCAATGTCAATGCAAAATCGGCTGAAACAGCAAAACCGCGCCTTACAGCACAAGATTTTCGCCCAATTACAACAAAATCGCCCTGACACAACAGAATTGCGCCGTCAGAGCACAACAGTTTCGACCAATCACCAAGAGATTCTACCTGACAGTGCAGATTCGCTCTTTCACACCACCAAATTCACCCTGACAGAGAAATTCGCCCTGTCAGAGCATGTTCTCACGAAAATCCCCTCTAGTCTAGCATGAGGTGAAACACTGAATACACTTCTGATGAGAGAAAAGATACATTGATGTTTCAGACCTTTTTTTCAAGGCACTCGGAAATTTCAGATTTTTTTTTTATACCAACTCTGAGGGCTTCAGACTAAAATTGTGTACGAGTCTGATGAATCAGACACGCCAAGAACGAATCTGAGGGCCTGCATTAGTGGCACTTAATTGTTCATGTGTGTGTGCAACATCCCAACTCTTGGGTTCTTACGATAATATGTACTCGAGAAATACGATCATGTGGCACAGGGAAGGGCGAACTTCTGTTGAAAGATTTCGTGCAAAAGCGCTTTTGTTTCACTGGGCAAGAATGCGAAGTCTATTGATTTACGTGCAAGCTCGATGACGTGGTCGTCGGATAGGTCTGGAGAGATGGGTAGGAGGAAGGAAGGAGATTAGCCACCGCACCCTGTTTGGCGACCGAGGAGAACGGATAGAACAAACGAGGCTAGCAACATGCAATCTACGGGGAGATGGATGACATGTCAAAATCAGGGAGATCGAGTTCATGGTGGCAGGGTAGTGGAAGGGCAGTGTGGTCGCTCACGATGATGGGACAGTAACGCACGGGGCAATAGGCTGATGGCGGTTGTGGACGTCAAGGGCCAACTATGGGAGAGTGAGAGATAAAGAGGGGAGGGGAGGGAGAGCGCAAGGGATGAGGAAGCAAAGGGTGGGGTGATTGAGCTTACCGAATGCAGCTGCTGCGAGTGCATATTCCCGTGAGAGCGTGGTGCTGAAGACACCCGAATCGTCAGTGCATATCACAACGGGGTGAGATGCGCGATACAGGTAGTCTGATGGGCACAGCAAAGGCAGATGGCGCATGAGATGGGTGAGCGGATGCACAGCAGATAATGAATCAAACGAAATGCAGAGTCATGTTGCATGGTTTCACACATGATGTAGGAACAGAGGTATCGGCAGGAATACAGGCCGAGCTGGTACGGCAGGGGTATGTCTACTGTTGCAGCTGATGCAGTGAAGATGCATGGCAGCACACACCAAAGTGGTGGTTGCCATACGCCGTGACACTCTCTGTGCGCACGTTGGAAGTGAGGCATAGCTCCACCTGCCACCACAATGCATGAGGATCCTTCAACACTGCAACGTGCCTTACTTTCAAGTGAACCACAGTTGGAAAATGAGTGGAGCAGATAAGGAACTATGATGAGGGAGGATAAGGGGGGTGGGAAAGGCAAGCGATACCGGGATGCGAGAGTGCAGCAGGGCTTGTTGGAGGTGGGCGGGGAGGCAGCAGGCATGGCCTAGTCGGTCCGGTGCGAAGTCCAGCACTGCCTGTGACTCCCTCTCGTTGGGCACCTGCGGGGTGCGCGGTGGGGAGGGGGGAAAGAAGAGGAGAGGAGTGTGAGGGCACAAAGGGATGTCGACTGGCATCAAAACCATGGGTGACACAAGGGCAACGGTGATGGTAGGGAATGTAGTGGAGTGGTGCGAGCTCATGGTGAGAGAGGCAGGGCAGTGACAAGCGGGAGCAATAATGACAAGGCGAGAACGAGGGCTGACAGGAAGGCGAGGTTAGCTCCTTGCTTGGGTTGCCGTATACGATATCACCTTAAGCTCTGCGGTACCTCTTCAATATAATGACGAGTGCCGTTCGACAGAGTGAAGCTGAGCACGAGAGGGAGGGAACGAGAGGCACCTCTGCGAAGTGGACGGTGATGGGAAGGCCATGGGAGCGAGCGAGGTGCAGCGCGGGGAGGAACGTGGACCTGCCAGGGCATACATCACACGCTCGTGACCTCCGTGCTTCCACCTACACGATTCGGAAATCCTTCAGCAAGTAGCTTTCCGTGATAGATAAGTGCGTCATGGGGTGGGTGAGCGGTGTCACCATTGGCCGATGGAAGGGTTGCCAGAGAGGTCGATGCCCACCACTCCTTGCCCGCGCAGCTGCACTGCCAGATGCACCTGGTGGGGGGAGCCGGTGAGAAAGGTGCAGTCACATGTGCACTGGCACGACATGGCAATTTATGGCACGATACGGCACGGCATGGCAGGGCAGGGCAGGGCATGGCACCGTACGGCATGGTCTGCATGGCATGGCATGTCTGGGCACAGCATGGTATGGAACTGCATGGTATGGAACTGCATGGTATGGAACTGAATGGTATGGAACTGCATGGTATGGAACTGCATGGTATGGAACTGCATGGTATGGATGCATGGTATGGAACTGCATGGTATGGAACTGCATGGTATGGAACTGCATGGTATGGAACTGCATGGTATGGAACTGCATGGTATGGCCTGTATGGTAGGTATGGCATGGCGTGGCATGCAGCAGCAGGGGGTGGAGTGGGTGACTCACGGTGTCCATGGCATTCTGAGTGGTCTCTCTGCGGTCAATGGACAGCACCAGGCGCACCACCATGGGCACTGCACTGCTGGGGGGGGCTGCCTCCTCCAACACCACAATATACGTGCATGCGCATGGCCGTGAGCGTGACCATGGGCGTCGAGGCGTGGGCATGGACGCATGAGCATGGGAGGACGAGTATTGCCGTGAGAATGGGCATGGTCATTGATGTGAATATGAGCACGGTCACGGATGTGCCTATGGGCATTGGCATGGGCATAGGGAGGGACATGATATGGTAGGGAGCTGAAACGGCACTGTAGAGCGTGCATGGGCATGGTGGTAACAACGTGCTGTTGTACGTGTTGCAAATTAGGATTCCAGCCGTACACCGAACGTGCCGCTGCGAGTTTGGACCTGGACTTGTTTAAACACGCACTTGACCAGATCTAACTTCCCTTCTCAACATTCCAAATCTTCACATCTCAACAACCTTCATCTCCATTTCCGCACGCTTCCTCCATATCTCTTTGATTGCCACCATAAGTCCAGCTTCACCGTCCTTCTCCTTCCACCGTCCCAGAATAGTCAGATGCATCTCTTCTCAGGTCCGTGCTTCCAAGTTAGTCATATTTCGTCCAGGTATGTTCTCTTAAGTCATGGTCCAGGTAAGTGCCATGACGAGCAGTGGCACTGCTCGTGAGCAGAATGTGAGAGCGCGCATGGCGTGGCAGTGGAATTTGTGCACAGGCGAGACAGCCCCTGGCCCCACTCAAGCGGTGAGCACGACATGGCATGATGAGCAGGGCAGCCTGGCAGGGCGGACAGCACATGGGCATACCTTGGTGTGCGGTGCGTGCATGGAGCCACGCAGCCTCGGCGTGCATCAAGGGGTGCAGCCCTGCCAGCACGGCCTGCACGTATGACTGCTTCGTCATGCCCCCACTCGGGTTGCTCTGAGCGCCGCCACGCAGGGGGTTGTGGGGTCAGTGGCGAGAGGCAGAACGGGCGGACGGAGATTCGACAAGGCAAACTCAATGAGTGATACGCAGCACGAACAAGTGAGTGCGAAACACACCTCACCAGCACACCTTGAGACTGGGCGGTCCAACCGATGCACGCTCCAAGAACGAGCCAGAACAACTGCTACAATTGCATACACCGCACTTCATCCTGGATTTCCCCTTCACGCTATCTAGCTGGCTGCCTCTGCGCCTCTCCGGTTCAGCCATGATATTGGATACCAGTCGTGGCTGCCTGCCGTGTGTCTCTCCATCTCCCTTTCACAGGGTGGCCTTGCAAGAAGCACACTGCACTGCCTCATTGCCTGCACGACCAAGCTCCCTGCATTGCCTGATCGGAAGGGCCCCTCTCCATACCTGCTCCCTCTCCATACCTGCTCCCTCTCCATACCTGCTCCCTCTCCATACCAGCCACTTTCTGAGACTGCATGCATGCGGTAACCTGATGTGAGGCGACCATGCTAGAGCGCGGCAGGTTCGCAGATTCTAGTCCATGCAGCGCAAGGAGCGGCAGAGAGGCACGTGGGGAGCACCTTGGGCGTGGTGCGCAGCTCCAGGTAACTCACGTTGTCGGCTGCAAAGTCCTCCACCACCTGATGCCATGTCACAGGGGTGCAGTGCGGTGCCATGGAATGACATGAGATACTGAGTTCTGTTGATGCCTCGAGAAGGCATGGCATGGAAGGAAAAGGAAGGAAGAGACAGAGAGCAAAACAGCGGCAGATGCAAAACACTGTGTTTCAACTGCCAAGAGCGCATATGCTGCACTTAGTGGGCCATCTGCCACGTGCCATGTGGGACATACAGCGTGCGGCATACAGCGTGCGGCATACAGCGTGGGACATACAGCGTGCGGCATACAGCGTGGGACATACAGCGTGCGGCATACAGCGTGCGGCATACAGCGTGCGGCATACAGCGTGCAGCATACAGCGTGCGGCATACAGCGTGCGGCATACAGCGTGCGGCATACAGCGTGCGGCATACAGCGTGCGTCATACAGCGTGCAGGGCTCACCTCGCGTGTGATGCGGGTGATGGTGGCATGGTCGGTGGTGAGGCTGTGGATCACCGCGAACAGCTTGAAGCACTCCGCTAGACTGCGCTCCGCTGCTCACACACCGCGGGCCGTGGGGGGGAATGGCGGTGCCATGGTGCTAGGTCAGCGTGGCCCGCTGGACGTGCAAGTCACGAGGGTGTGGGATGTGTGCGAGTTGGAGGTGAGGCAGACGAGGCGACCTGTGTTGGTGAGGCGTCGTGCGTCCTCCGCCAGCAGCGGCGCCTCCGCCTCGCGGTTCTCCGCCAACTCCCTGCCCATCCCCGCACAAACACCACGCACGCCCGTGCCGCCACGCGCCCGCACGCCCCGCGCAGAGGGAGAATGGCACACAGAGAGATGGAGAGCACGGGATGTGGTTCGGAGCACGCTGGTGCGACAGGCATGGCGGTGCAGTCGCCGGCGACTCGACAGCTATACGGGGAGGGGAGCGGCATGCCCTGCGGCGCGGGCAGGGGGCGCGACAGGGAGGCTGCGCGCGCGAGAGGCGAGACGGATGGTGCGGGGCAGGGAGGGCGAGAGGGGCGGGGAGGGCGAGAGGGGCGGGGAGGGCGAGAGGGGCGGGGAGGGCGAGAGGGGCGGAGAACACGAAAAGCGGGGAGGGGTTGACCTGATGGTGGAGTGGCGAATGGAGCCGTTGAGGTGCGCGTGCAGCTCCACCTTGGGCACGCGCTCGCACAGCGCCAGTCGCTGCTGCCACCCCGCCGGCTCCATGGCACGTGAAAAAAGTGCTGCGATTTCAGGAAATGGCGTGGTACAGGGTTTGGGATGCCTCGTATGGGAGTGACAAAATTGTGCGGCAGGTATTCCATGGTGTAAGGGCGCGTAACTTTTTGGGTTGCGTAGCAACCCTATATATTTGGTTTCACATTTTGGGGATATCGCTTCAAAGGTGATTTTCAAGCACTCTTTGAGGACCTGTTCAAAAGAATACCTCAAATAATGGTTAAAAACCACTCATGAAGTTGACATCAGGGCCCACGATATCAGGGCAAAACATCCTGATTACCCTGATTTCAGGATGGTGTTTTAAATTTGCCCTGGAATTTCAGAATGACGGTGAACTTGTCAAATGTTGCACATTGATGTGATAGGCTGTAGTGAGTTGCACTCTAGGGGGTACAGCTTCTAGGGTTGCTTATTTGTACCCCATTCGTTTCTATTCCAACCATTCCGTTGCGTTCACTGTTTGAGATGGTATCACGAGTAGTTACGTTCCTAGCCTAGCCCTCCGTGCGCCTAGCGCCCTCCGCGCCCTCCGTCGCGCCTAGCGCCCTCCGCACCCTCCGCGCCCTCCGAGGTTGTTGCGCACTCGCGCTCCTAGCCCGCGCCACTGAGGGCACTCGTGGTCGTCGAGTCAGTTTTCTCCACTCCGACCGTGGGGGCGAGTTTCGCTCCGGCATTCTCGGCGGATTCTGCGGCGAACAGGGCATCACCCAGTCCTGGACGCTGCCTGAGTCCCCACAGCAGAATGGGGTTGCTGAGCGCCGCATAGGCTTGGTCATGGACATCGCCCGCACGTCCATGATCCATGCCCGTGCGCCCCATTTTCTGTGGCCCCACGCGGTTCGCTACGCCGCACACCAGCTGAACCTCCAGCCGCGTGTCTCGCGGCCCGAGGCTTCACCGACCAGTCTTTGGACTGGTTCCCCTGGTGTCGGGTCGGCCTTTCGAGTCTGGGGCTGCCTTGCGCTTGTTCGCGACACCTCCGCGGACAAGCTCTCGGCACGCGCCGTCCCCTGTGTCTTCCTTGGTTTCCCAGTGGACTCTGCCGACTGGTCCTTTTACCACCCTCCCCTCCACCAGTTCCTAGACTCCCGTGACGTCCGGTTTGACGAGTCCGTGTCCTACTACACCCGGTACCCCTGTCGAGGTCTCCCGGTACCCCCTCCCCCTCTTTTCCTCGCACCCTCTCCTCCTCCTGCTCCCGCTCCTCCGGTACCCCCGCCCCCCCCTGGTCTTGCCCTGTCTGGTGTGTCCCACGCTACCCCTCTACCCTCGGTCGCGCGTCAGGTAGTGTCTCCCTCCCCGCAGTCCTCCTCACAGTCCCCTCAGCAGCCTTCGGCACTTCCGCGACAGGTTACTGTGGACTCTGTTGGTGTTGGAGCTGGAGGTGCAGCCGCTGGGGGTGCTCGGTCGCGGGGTACTGGAGCTGGAGGTGCTGGCGCAGGTGGCGCTAGCTCTGGGGGTGCTGGAGCTGGGGGTGCTAGCGCAGGTGGCGCTGGTTCTGGGGGTGCTGGAGTTGGAGGTGCTGGCACTGGCGGTGCTAGTTCTGGGGGTGCTGGAGTTGGAGGTCCTGGCACTGGCGGTGCTGGTCCTGGGGGTGCTGAGTCTGAGGAGGCTGGAGCTGGAGACCCTGGTTCTGCGGAGTCCACTCCGCCTCCCCACCGCCACGACACGCGTCTCCAGGCTGCCCGTCGGCGTGAGCGTGAGGAGCAGGAGCGGTTGGAGAGGGAGCGGCAGGAGCTGCGGGTGCTGGACCTTCTGGAGCAGCAGCAGCAGCAGCCGCAGCAGCAGCAGCAGCCGCAGCCGCCGCCGCAGCTGCAGCAGCAGCAGCAGCCGCAGCCGCCGCCGCAGCCGCAGCAGCGGCAGCCGCAGCCGCCCCCGCAGCTTCCTCTGGAGCGGCAGTTGTTCCCACCTATGAGTGGCCTGCGGGCCCTTGGCCTTTCCTCCTCTCCTTCTGTCCGCTCCCCGTCTCCTCCTGTGTTTGTTCCTCCGTTGCCTCCTCCTAACGACCGTCCGGCGGTCTGGTCTTCTCCTCCTCCTCAGTCTCCTCCTCCTTCTGTCCGTCGCGACTTGATCACCCGTTGTCCTCCGCGTGCTCGTCACTCGTCCCCTGTTACTGACCTCCACACTGCCCTCCTTTGTTCGTCTCGTCGTCGTTCTCCTTCTCCTGTGTCCGTTCTCCCGTCTCCTCCTCCGTCCTCTGTCACAGCCCCCCCCACTCCTATCTCTGACTACTACCGCGCTGTTCATCCTGTTGCCGCACGTGTCCTCGCCACTCTTGTCACCGACTCTCGTTTCCCTCCGTCGTCTGCCTCGGCTCTCACTGCCGCTGTCGCTGAGTTTGCTGCCGCCAGTCACCTTGACTACGCCACCCGTGTGGTGCCAGCTCCTCCCTACCGTCCTCTGTCCGTCGGGGGTGGGTTTGCCCTTGGCTGTGACGTCCTAGAGGACAGAGAGTCTGAGCTGGAGTACTGGGCAGCCGCTTCTCCCTCTGTGTGTGCCATGCTGCTCTCCCCTGAGGGAGACCCCGACGCCCTTGACATACCGACTCCTCGCACTTACCGCGAGGCAGTGTCAGGGGCGTGGGCCTCTCAATGGAAAGCGGCTATGGACTCAGAGTTGGCGTCTTGGAGGTCCACAGACACCTACGTCGACGCAGTTCCCCCTCCCAGGGCGAACGTAGTCGATGGCATGTGGCTCTTCAAGGTGAAGCGGCCGCCTGGAGCACCGCCGGTGTTCAAGGCGCGCTACGTGGCTAGGGGTTTCAGTCAGCGTGAGGGAGTTGACTTCTTCCAGACCTTCGCCCCGACCCCGAAGATGACTACTCTTCGGGTGTTACTCCACATAGCAGCGCAGCGAGACTACGAACTGCACTCCCTCGACTTCTCCAATGCGTTCCTCCAGGGCCGACTGCACGAGGAGATCTGGCTGCGCCGTCCTCCTGGCTTCACTGACACCTTCCCACCTGGGACCCAGTGGAGCCTGAGGCGACCAGTCTACGGTCTCCGACAGTCGCCCCGTGAGTGGCACGACACTCTTCGCTCCACGCTTCGTGACCTTGGGTTCAGCCCGTCCTCCGCCGACCCGTCGCTGTTTGTTCGAGCGGGTTCTACTCCTTTCTTTATCCTTGTCTACGTCGACGACTTGGTGTTTGCTACAGCAGACAGGGCAGCCCTGGCTCAGGTGAAGTCCGAACTGCAGAAGAGACACAAGTGCACTGACCTGGGTGAGCTGCAGCGTTACCTTGGCTTGCAGATCACCCGGGACAGAGCCGCTCGCACCATCACACTGACGCAGTCACACATGGTGCAGCAGGTCCTTCGGCGGTTCGACTTCCAGTTCTCCACCACACAGCCCACTCCTCTTGCTGTTGACCACAGACTCACGGGCCCCTTTCCTGACGAGCCCTTTGAGTCCAGTGGACCCTACGCAGAGCTGGTGGGCTGCCTCATGTACCTGATGACTTGTACTCGACCGGACCTCGCCTTTCCCCTCAGCATCCTTTCTCGCTTTGTTGCGACTGGGAGACACCGCCCTGTCCACTGGACAGCTGCTGTGAGGGTGGCGAATTACCTGGCGACTACATCAGGCATGGGGCTTGTGCTTGGAGGGACTCAGCCAGTGGTGTTGACTGGTCACTGTGACTCTTCCTACGCTGACGACGTGGAGACTCAGCGCTCGACTCAGGGTTACTGCTTCAGTCTGGGAGCTGGTGCTGTGTCGTGGAGGTCTACATGGTCGTCGTCTGTGGCTACTTCCAGTGCAGAGGCAGAGATCTACGCGGGTGCCATGGCGGCACAGGAGCTTCGCTGGTTGACCTTCTTGCTCGCAGACCTTGGTGAGCGGCCTCGCTCTGCACCGACCTTGTATGCTGACAACAAGGCCATGATCCTCCTGTGTCGAGAGCCTCGACTGGAGAGCAGAGTGAAGCATATTGACGTGATGTACTTCCTCCTGCGAGAGCTGCAGCGACGCGGTCAGGCACGCCTGGACTTTGTGGCCTCAGAGGCCAACACTGCAGACGTCTTCACCAAGGCCTTGGCGCTTGGTGACCACCACAGGTTCTGTGTGCAGTTGGGGCTTGTTGAGGTAGGCCCTCGGTTGCTGTAGTCCTGTTGCTTGCTCTGCTCGTGCTTTGTATTTATATCCTAGTGAACTCTTGAACTGGCCTTGTGGCCGCTTGCTTGCGCTCGGAATTTGTGTGGTGTCCTTGAGATCCACCCTGAGCTTGCCTTGGTTCTTGCTTTGACTGGTCTTGTGACCGTTTGTTCACCTTGCTTGCTTTGATGCCCCTCACTTAGCCTATGGGGGTGTGTCAAATGTTGCACATTGATGTGATAGGCTGTAGTGAGTTGCACTCTAGGGGGTACAGCTTCTAGGGTTGCTTATTTGTACCCCATTCGTTTCTATTCCAACCATTCCGTTGCGTTCACTGTTTGAGAGAACTTTACCCTGTGACGTCAGGATGATTCATGTGTTTTGCCCTGAAATTTCAGAATGGCAGTGAAATTTTGCCCTGAAGCGTTAGGGTGAATGTAGAGGGATGCCCTGACTCGTGGGAAGGGGAAGAAGGGGTGGAGGGGGGGAGAGGGGGATAGGGGAGGAGGGAGGCTGGGGGGTGGGTGTGCTAGTTTTGTCTCCCCCACCCCCCCCCCCAAGGTTTTTGCTCAGCCCATTGTAGTGAAACCACTGAACAACCTGCTCCTCTCATGGCTTCCCCTCCACTCTAGTGTCTTGTATTCTTTTGCCCTGAAACATCCGGATGAATTTCTGCTCGTGCCCTGAAACTTCAGGATTGCGAGGAATTTTTGCCCTGAAAAATCAGGGCATTTTGGAGAGTTTTCAAAAGTTGCCCTGAGGGCTCAGGGTGCCCTAAGTCATAGCACAGGCCCTGGTTGACATCTTAAACATGAAACCAAATACGGCATATTGAAACCATGTATTTATTTCGACTGTCCCAGCTCGTCGATTAATGCGGCGGATGGTAC